TCTCTAAAAATATCCAGATATCAGAAATCTGACTTAATATTATGGGTATAGTTATTAGTGTATTAGATACAGCATGGAATTTGAAGTAAAATCCACATTCTACCATGCTCTGTCTGTTGTTCTTGAGTAAATTATTTAACACCCCTAAACCTTATTTAACTATTTTAAATAATGGATATAACACAAAACTTGTAAGAGTTTTGAAAGGATTAAATTAAATAAGTATGTTTACTATAGAGAACCATCCCTGATACATACTATACACTTGTGTATGGCCAGTACCAGTAGAGGTAACTGTTATCATCAAACACAATGAAGAAGCTAGAATTACCCCAGTCTCCCTACAGAAGTTTAAAACAATGCTACAAAGGAGCTACCAGATTAATGGCATAAATAGACAACAACAACAACAACAACTATTATATATATGCATAATTAAGACATGATGTATTTAGCACTCTGAATTATATAAAGCAGTTTAAGGAAATAGAGAATTTTGAAAACAGTGTCACTTTATATACAACTAGAAACCTGGTGCATGAAATTCATACACAGGGGTGGAGGATATCCTCAGCCCAGCCTGTATCCTCTTCAGCCTTGGTCCCCTTGGGGGATGTACGACTGCCGGTTTAGGCCCAATCCTAGAGACCTGGCCTAAACCGGCTGTCAGACATCCCTCTCACAATCCTGGACCGCTGGCTCCTAATTGCTCACCTGCCTGCCTAGTTACCCTTAACTGCTCCCTCTGCTGGCCTGATTGCCCCTCACTGACTCAGCATGCTGGCCTGATTGTCCCTAACTGTCCCTCCTATCAGCCTGGTCTCCTCTAACTGTCCTATGCTGCTGGACAGGTCACCCCCAACTGCCTCCTCCTTGCCAGCCTGATCTTTTTTAACTGCCCCCCCCCACTGGCCTGGTTGCCCCCAGTTGCCCCTCTCCTGCTGACCTGGTTGCCCCTAACTGCCCCCCTTCGCCCCCCTGGAAGCTTGTCTCCCCCAACTGCCTCCCCTGCCAGCCTGGTTGCCTCATGCAGCCTGCTTTTTCAGTCATTTGGTTGTCCCTCACTAACCCTCTTGCCAGTCTGGTCATAATCAGTCATCTTGTGAGGATGTGAGGGTTAATTTTCATATTATCTCTTTATTATATAGGATATTCAGAGAGATTTCTGTGAAAGTGACATTTGAGCAGAAATATGAATGAGACAGAGGGAAAAAGGATATAAATGTTTGGTAGAGTGTGTTTCTGACAAAGAGAAGAAAAAATCACAAAGATCATCAGGTGATAATATGCTTGATGTAATAAAAAACAGTAAGAAGGTCAGTGTGGCTGGAACTGTGTGAACAGGAAAATAATGGTAGGAAATGTGATTGGAAAGAAAGTTAGAGGAAAACTATATGTAATCTTGTTGGCTGAATTCAGAAGTGTGAAGAATCACATCCTGAAAAAGTAACCAAAGAACTGTGTGATTTAATTAATACATTACAAGGTATTAAATGCATTGTTGGGCCAAAACCAATTTCATTGAAAAGCTTACTCTTTGACACAGAAGAGTTTGCAGTACAATTATGAAAACCAGTCATAAAGACATAAAATAGATAACTAATTATTTAAGGGATGACATAACATAACCCTAAGAATAGGAATACTAAGATAAGAAAAAGAATGCCATGAAAAGATTCAAGATATTTCTTAGTCATGGATTAATTTAATTAGGAAACTGAAGGGTCACTTAGGATTAAATAACAGAGATTCCAGACAAAAATAATATCTCAAGTGAAGTACAAGCAAAAGGGATCCACAGCACATATGTATGTATGAAGGGTAAACCAATTATTTCTTTCTTTCTTTCTTTTTTTTTTTTTAACTATGTCCATGTAGCTAGGTACAGGGTCCTATGCATATCAAAATATGGAGTTTGATGAACTACTATTTTGGGGTATGTGTTGAAGAAAATGTAGCTTAAGAAAACAAGCTACTCTGTGGATTTGGAGACCTATCAGCTTTTGTATAGCGCTATGGAAGTCAAGGTTAAGGACATTTCTACTAATAATCTCAACATTTAGTTTAATAGGGAATTCTTCTCAAAAACACTCCGTAGAGGCACCGTATTTCATAAGAATCTATGGAAGGCTCCCATCAACTTTTTCAGTCTACAGTAATGAAGGAAGTCACTTTCAAGGTCACCTTTAGAACTTATTTCAACTTTCCATCTGCCCACATAGGTACCTGCAACTGTGTGTGGAGAATAATGATGTCCTATTTAACTTTCCATTTCTTATGTGAATGCCTCTTATTGGCAAATTCTAACCCAGAACCATAAGGAGAAAGGATTTCTGGAAAATGCAGTTCCAGGAGTCTCTTCCAAAGGCAGATCTGACCTCGGAGGGAAGTGGCACTGGTGATCAGTATAAATAGACAACCCAGAAGAGAAAGAAATATCAGAAAACTAAAGTTGACTGAAATTTTCATTGTTCTTCATGCATAGCAAATAAACTATAATATTATTTTATATATTTATTTTGAACAGATTATACTATTAATAAAAGAAAACAAAATGATATTTAAATGCTAGTGTTTTGGATACAAGTTTATTCTGTCAAATACATGAAGACATTTATTTTCATTTCCTAATAGTATCCAGCCACAGGAACCCATAGTTTTTCCAACTTTTCTTAATAAGAAATGATAAAATATTTACTATTCTTGATATTCTCATCTGTTTCTGCTTATCATTCTCCAATGTTTTAAAAAATTTGATGTACATAATTAAACACAGGTCTCATAATGAAGTCTGACTACTAAAGAACAAGGGTAGCTATTTCCTTCAATTATTTTGTTGCTATCTTTATATTTATGCCACCAAACTTCAAATGCTTTAAAGTTGATTTCACACTTCTGGCTAATAATGAGCTCACAATAAAAATGTTCCAGTATTTTTAGACATGAACCACTGCCAAGCTGGGTCCCTTCCCTAAACAGATTTTGGAATCATCCACAAAAAAATCAATAGCTGAAACTAAATAAATGAGTGAAATTTCTGAAGAAAAGTTAACAAATAATATATTATAAATAGGAAACATATACCAGTATAGATAGCAAGTTAATATCTAGACTTTGAAGACCAAGTTCATATCTAAAAAATCTTAGCAAGAAAATTAAAATTTAAACAAATAAATCTTATTTTTGAAATAATAAATAATTATAGCAAATAAAAAAGTTAATTCAGTCCTGAAGATAATAGGAAAATTGGGATGTTTTGCTATAACATCGTTAACAAGAAAAAAAATCATAGCATAATAGGTTTGCTCACAAAGCACAGACTGAATAGACTGGATGAGGACATATGCATGGTTAAATAAGGATCAGAAGCAAATATGTGGTGCGAAGTTATAATATGAGATACAAGCATTCATCTCAAATTTTATGGAACTGAGAGAAAACTGTCTAGAAAGACAACTGTTCAATACATTTTCTTCACTAAAATAGCAACCCATGCACATCTAAAGAATACTAGAGCTTTTGCCTCCAAAATAATTTGAAATCATTTAAATTTCAATAGACATGAAATTTCATTTAAATTTAACTTATATTAAATTTAAATTAAATGAAAAGTCATTTAAGTTTGAACAGACATGTTAGCTAAAGCTCTTCTAGTTTCTGTTTTAAATACATTTTATTATAAGGCATACATTTTAAGTGCCTAAAAATATTGCTATTATTGAATGACAAATTATAGAACAATTTAAGCAGCTGCAAGAAAAACATTTTTATTACTAAATTAATATTTTCAAACTGAATCAGAAGGGACCATTATCCCTGTGGATATGGAACCATATTGTTCTTCCGCTTAGCTAAACCAGGAGATCCTAATTATAATAAAATGTGTATAATTAATTGATGACAGTTGGACTTTGATATTTCAGTTGATGAAATATTTGTTTACATTGATTTCATATGGTTCATGCAATTTCAATAGTAGTACAGTACCCAGTCATGAAAAATTTTGAAAGAAGTATTTGATGATAGAATTATAAAGCATGTATCTTTCCTTGTATTACTACATTTTCACGTAATTTACTAGTTTTCTTAAAGGATTAAAGAAGAAAACTAATATAATATTGAAATTCTATCTAAGAAAAATAATTGGAAGACTTTTAAATGACTAAATGTTTTATTAGTGGTTTGAAAAATTGTTTAATGTCAAAATAAGAGCTTTTTAATAAATAGTAATAATAAAGCTTAATGAGTTTTACCTTATATGAATTATTCTCCTGACTTGGAAAGGCAAAATTCTATACTTTAAAATTGATTGTTCCAGAAATAATAATCAAATCATTAATAAAGTTAATAATAACAATAGAAAAAATAGTTAGCATTTTTATAGGGCTTGCTTAAGACAGAGACTATATTAAGTGTTTTTAAAATTATTATTTCTAGGGTGAAAACTTATGAGGATAAAATTGTTGTAATTGCTTATTTTCTTTTAGAATGAATATAATGTAAAAAAAAAGTCACACCTTAAAGTGTACAATTCAAATGATTTTTAGTATCTATATAAATACCCATCTCCAAATATCATCACAGTGGAGGTAGAAATTGAACATAAATTTTTGCTTGATACAATTCAGTCCATAGTGGAGAGGTTGTAAGAAAAATGCAAAAGAAAAATTTTAATAGCAGAAACTGCTAGCCCTTCAATAAAAAAATTAAATAGATGGGGGGAAAAGGGTAGCTGTGAAAGTGCGTGTATAAAGATAGATATTCCAGGAACAGCAACTTATAAAATCTAAAATAAATAATATTTATATCTGTATTGCCTATAAAATATAAATAAAGCCATAATAAAGTCCATTATGTAATGTTTTGCATTGTATTCCATAATAAAAAGGCACCTATCATACAAAATTTATGTTAAAATTTAAAAAGTAGTCCAATGCAATGACAGTATTTATTTTAGCCTTTGATACTACAGCTATGCCTCTAATATTAAATTTTCTTACCATTGTGTAGCTGTGAGCCACCTTCATTAGTTCAATGCACCCTTGAGCATCTGCAAATGCTCGGATTCCTAAGCAGTTGGAAGGATGCAGAAGCTTCATGAGGAAATGGCAGCACACTTCCACTACTTGGGGCAGCTGAAGAAGGCAGGCTGCGGAGAGAAGGTTTTCAATGGTGTCTTCCTTTAATTCCAAGCAACCTGCACAGTAAGGGCAGAGAGTTATAAAATTGCTTACAACATAACATGTATGATTGTGTTTCTCAAAACTTTAGGCCAATCTGCTAGATATAATTTGAACCTATATTTATAGTCAAGTTAAACATAAGTCCATAAAGTCCAGCATCTTGCTTTGTTAATGAAAGTTAACTTACAATATTATGTGCATAATGAAGTGATCGCCACATTAAGTATAGTAACCATCTGTTACCATACAAAGTTACGATGATATTCCTTATGTTGTACATTAAATTTCAGTGATTTATTTTATAACTTAAAGTTTGTACTTTTTATTCCCCTTCACATTTTTCACCCATCTCGCTCCCCTTCCACTCTGCAACCATTAGTTTGTCCTTTATATCTATGAACTTTTTTATGTTTTATCTTTTTTGTTCATTTGCTTTAGTTTTAGATTCCATATACAAGTGAAATGATACTGTGTTTGTTCTTCTCTGTCTTATTTTACTTAGCATAATACCCTCTGGGTCCATTTATGTTGTCCCAGATTTCAAGATTTCAGTTTTTATGACCGATTAATATTTCATATCATATATGAACCACATCTTTTTTATTCATTAATCTGCCAATGAAAATCTAAGTTGCTTCAGTATCTTGGCTATGGCAAATAAGGCTGCAGTGTACATAAAGATGCATATATCTTTACAAATTAGTGTTTTTATTTTCTTCAAGTAAATATCCAGAAGTGGAATTGTTGGGTTTTATGATAGATATCTCTAGTTTTAACTTCTTGAGGAACTCCCATATTTTTTTTCATAGTGACTGCAAAATTTACAATCCCACCAACATGCATAATATTTCCTTTTCCTCCACATTCTTGAAAACATTTGTTATTTATTGTCATTTTGCTAATAGTCAACCTGATAAGTATGGTGATATCGCATTGAGGTGTAAATTTGCATATCTGCGATAATTAGTGATGCTGAGCCTCTTTTCATGTGGCTGTAGGTCATCTGAATGTCTTCTTTGGGAAAATATCTGTTCAGTTTCTCTGTCTATTCTTCATGTAATGTTCAAAATCATCTAGTCCATACAAATGCAGTTTCAACTGAATTATATGTATCCACTTCAGCAGATGTTTTTCCTTTAAAAGTATGCTCAAATGTTAATAAAAATAACTAAAGTTTACTAATACCTATAAATAATATCTGAGGGCTTTAATTCAAACTTTATTCACAAGATCAGCAAGACAGGATATTATAATTTGAAAAAATGTGTTACATATTAACTTCTTTCTTAGAATTTATAATATACATAACATATTACAGTCATGGCAACTTCACATATGTTATTATCATGACCATAGTACTGTTAAAATAATTTTATGTGTAAAACTAATATTAAAATGGCAGGTGGATGTGTGTATGTGGTGTGTGTGTGTGTGTGTGTGTGTGTGTGTGTGTGTATTTGTATTTTTATCTTCCCTATTCAACTCTTGAAAAGTGATTCAGAGATAGTATTATATCAGTGTGATAAGTTATAGGATATTTAAAATATTTGTTTATAGAAATAATTTTTCAGTTTAGATTTAAATTTTGGGTCTATTCCTGTTTTATAACAATTTTCATAACATTTTTACAGGCCATCTATCCATTCTTTCTTATTAAAAAAAGAAAAACTTTTGACTTCTGGCAGTTTAACTATAGACTAATTTTTATAAGTTACTTATTGGTAATTTTTATGTAAATTTTAAAGAAATAAGCCATGTTTATTTCAAAAAATTTAAAATGTTCTATTTTTTTTTAACCAGGAATATATCCATTTGTAAAAGCCAAAAGGCACAAATGGAATATTAGCCAGTGTTGAGCTTGAATGAACACAATTTGTACTACCTCATGCATGATAGATTTCTTTATAGTTATAACCTGCCCATTTATCTTATGGACTTAGATGGTAAAAGGCAAAAATCTGCCATATTTTTTACTTAAAGAGAACCAAAAAAGTACATGATTACTGTTAATGAAAAAAATAAAGTAATTTTATACTTTAATTCAAAGTTAACTTTCAAGGCATAAAGTTCTCAAATGGTTTTAGCTTTAATGTTTTCAAGTTAGGTATCACAGAAAATTGGCTAAAAATAGATTATACTTTGGTAAAATTATGGGTACCGAAAGATCCTGTGAATACAGTATCATAAAACAATGAGAACTTTTCTCGAATAATAAGGAAACATTTATCTCTCTTGTCAAATCCAGAGGAAAGCTGTCTTCAGAAGTGAGTAATTGAAAAGCTCATCACATCAGGAAACAGACAGCTCAAGTAACTTGCTGTTTCCCTCATGGTTGCCATACTGTCAAGTTTCAGATTCAGACAGCAAAACACCCATCACAAGAGAAACTATTCCTTCATATATACATATATATTTTTTGCATGAGTAAATAAGTGTTTACAAAAAGTTTCCCCAAATTATTTTTTGTATGGTTCCTTGGAAAAAATTTAGTCATGTTGAACTCAATAATTAGAAATGGGCTAAAACCTCACTGATTGATTTTGAGCCTATTTAAATTAGAATTATAAAATTAAAGTAAGACTCCCTTGAATCAATTGGGGAATAAAAAGGAAATGAGTTTTGAATAGTTATCACCAATGTGTGCAACTTTTATCTATAGTCTCACTTTATTTAAATTCTAGAGCAGTTGAGCTTTCAAAACATGTAGCAGTAGACTTAAACTCTGATTTTCAATATAACAATATAGTTAAACTTACGCTGCATTGGAATGAAAACATGTAAAATAGAATGGGGAAGAAAAACTCACATTATAGAAGATTACAAATCTATGCTGCTTTATTTTTTAATAGACAAGTGGTATCATATTAACAATCTGATATATTACCATAGTTCATTTATAAATTCAGTTACATTGAAAAAACAATGCATTCTATTAGATAGGTACAAAAATTGCCAATGAAATTCATAAAGTAAATATTATATTTCTTCTATTATCTATCCATCTATCTTTCTTTAATGGAAATATACAATAAATAAATAATATAATTGACACACTAGAAATTAAAACTAAATTAATATGTTAGTAATTCATAGGGGAAATAAATGTTTTTTCTTAGAATAAGAAAAACAAGTTTTACATTTATAGCAAACTTACAGTATTGTACAGAAATTTTTCATATAGTATAGCTGTTTTTCCCAGTTATTAACATTTTACATTAAAATGGTACATGTTAAATTAATGAACCAATATTGTCAAATTCCATATTGTTTAGGTTAATTTGCATATTCACGCCTGATTGGCTGGTGGGTGTGGCTTGTGGATGTAATGGAGGTATAGTCAATTTGCATGTTTCTCTTTTATTAGATTGGATCATTTGGAAAGAATAAGGATGTGTTTGCTGAGTGAAAACCTGGGCTTATTCTGAACATTCCCTTAATACACATTTATGCACAGCTTAAATTTTTTACTGTAATTATAGTGTATGTTCCATATTTTCAGTATATTATAATTTATAACTCTGTTCCTAACCAACTGTAGACATTTTATTGCTTGTTATGGAGATTAAAACAGCTTGTCACTCAATAGGATATTTTTGCTGTGAGGAAAATTAAATAAAATAAGTAAATAAATACAATCAACTCATACTTTTATACACATTTTCCAAGCTTCCACTCTAAGAAGTATAATTTGGTAAACTGTATATCATAAATACCACATATATACTCATTTTTCCTATTACAGAATTAAGTATTTTATAACAGACACCTTTATGTAGTACAATTATTCTTAGCATAGATAATACTTTTTCCTTTCAATTAAATGCACCTTGAGCCCAAATGAGTTTAATTCATAGATTTATTATTCTGTTCTTTAATGAAATTATTAGTAATCTGTGTTTCTGGACAACATCATTTGAATTGAAATCAGACAAAAATACTTCTGAAATGTGTTATGATATCCACTTTTGACATATTAGTGAAGGTGTGAAGTACATCATATGGTGTATTACAAATATTCAAATATTTAGAAACATTTTCTCAGATGTTGGAAAACATTGTTTCTCAGATTTTAGTATAAAAAAACCTATGTTTTTGTTAAGCAAAGTATTTATTTTTATTTTATCAGAGTGATCATACTTCTTCCTTTGCTTTGATGACTGAGAAGCTAAAACAAATTGGTATATCCTTTTATGAATACAAATAGAATCTTTAGACATTTACTTATGGTGCAAATCGTATCATGGATATTGTGGATGTGAATTGGAATGCCCTTTTTAGGTCTTTTTTATTTGGATTTCAAAGCCTCATACAACTTGCGTAATGAAAAACAAAATTATGGACAAAGTTATAATCTTGTGACTTTGTAAATGACTTTCCATATTTTCTCCCTTTGTGTTTCACTTCAATCCGGAACATAGAGAAATAGAAGGGGATAAGTCTCAGAGAATGCAACTTCTCACTGGACAGATTTTATTGTAACAGTATGGAGGATCATGTTCTCAGAGACCTGGTTTGAATGGATGCTATCTACAAAGTTGCTTCATCTTGGGGTGCTCAAGTATTTTATACACTACCTTGGGTTGGTATAATGTGAAAAAAGGTCAGCAATTTTGATATTTTATTCTGCTCAGGTTGGGAGTTCTACCATCATACCTGTGCGCGTGGCTGTCTACCCATTTCCTCTACTCCAGGGCTTTGAAATTGTCAGATTGTTTGGTCTTAGGGTTTGTTTCTTTGCTTGTTTGTTTGTTTTGGAGAGAGGTAACAGGTATTTTGAGGGGAGCACTAATTTGGCTCTCAAATCTACTTGATAGGCTATCTTTTCACTTTTCTGCTATCATTATTAGTCATTTTAAAAAATGATCACTTTTTTTACTATAAGCATTCAAATTTTTTCTTGAAATCTGCACATCTAACAATTCATATTCTTAATATTTCTTAGTCCCAATTAACCAGAAGTACAATAATTACAAAGTGCTATTGAGAAATTATACATTTGATTCTCATATATGTA